ACGTCCCTAGACACATGCATCATCTTCCTTCTTCCCCTGTCCCTCGCCCTCTTTCTTCCTTGTTCTCCTACCCTCAGCCAATAAAACTTTGAGAACATGACTAGAATGTGTTAGATTTTCAACATTTTAAAGTTGAAGTCACAGTAAACCCAGTTGATCTCAAACACTATTGTCCTCTGTTGTTTTTTTTAACTGCCCTGTTTGTCTCTCATTATTGTCATCATCACTTTTCTCATTTGCCCCATTATTATGATTATGATTATGCTGGGAATAGGAATCTGACTGTGAAAGAACAAAGAAAGAAAGAAAGAAAGAAAGAGAAGTGAGGGGGACTGGTTTACAGGGAAAACTTATTAACAGCAGAGTATGGACAATTTTCTTTCTGCTTGGAAAAATTTAATTGTATGGACTGCAGCTTCCATGTATTGTTAAAAGTAGTACTTGCAGTGATATAAAATCTGAACTGGGAGAAGTTTTCCTCCCTGTTCAGTACAGAGCTTGGTAGTAGTGGTGTGTGCCTTCAAGTAGTTTTCGGCTTATGGCAACCCTATCATGGAGTTTTCTTGGCAAGATTTGTTTAGAGGAAGTTTGCCATTGCCTCCCTGTGAGGCTGAGAGCACATAGCTTGCCCAATGTCACCCAGTGGGTTTCATGGCTGAGCTGAGAATTGAACCCTGGTCTCCAGCATCGCAGTCCAACACACAAACCACTATGCCAAGTTAGCGTAGCTTAGAAAACTTAATTTTGGATTCATTGGTCTTAACTTAATTTCCAGCTAGAGAAACGCTTTCTCATTTATTAGCGTTCAGCTGGAATCCTGTTGGTGACATACATTAACTTTACACATGCATCTCCTTTTATGATCTTTGTGCAAGGAGCTATTCAGGAACTCCTTGAAAAACGTCTCCCCTACGACACCCAAGAAACCTGCTTCAAATATTGTTCAATTGATGTTCTGCCCCCTTTACTCTTTACCTAGAAAAAGATTTGTGTCACCCATTATTCAATTATATACAGATTACGCACCCCAGGAAATAGTTGTAGAGTTGTTAGCAGATACACAGCTATTTGTTACATGCTCAGTAGCCCAATTTGCATTGGCTGCCAAGAAACTGCATGCTCACTTTATTACGAAGCATACTATAATGTAGACATGAATCTCACACTTTTGATTTGCTGGTTGTGCAGGGTTTTGTTAAAATAGTTTTAAAGTTATGTATAACATTCTTAAAAC